AGTGCCGGCGGGGAGGAATCCCCGTGGGCGGTCAGTCCGCTGCGGTCGGGGCTCAGGGAGGGACGGCTGGCGCTGGGCTGACAAGAAGCCTGGGTCAAGTGATAAACAGTCTGGCTCCCGCGTGATTTTGAAGCTTTCAAAAGGGGGAGTCCCTCTAAAGGCTCTGAGATGTGATAAGTAACGGGACCAATATGCTCCCAACATCCCCCAGCCCAAATAACTTTCAAACCCCTCCATCAGTTTCAGCCAGGCTCCACAGCCCCGTGTCACACAGCTGAGCTTGCTATAAGCAACAGCTTGATAGGGGGGGAAAAACATAGTCCAAATTATTCTCTTATTGGGAGGAAGGCTCAAGTATGAGCTCAGTGGCTGTAAGCTGTTTTTAGCCAGCTGTCTGACTATCTGTATATTTGGAGCAAGGAAGCAAACCTTTGTCCTCCTTAGCAAGTAGCGAGTAGTGTAAGGGGGAGTGTTTGTTTCTGAGTATCCAGTGTGTACACGATTTATATTTTGGTGGGACTAACTGGTCTGATTTTATGGACCGAAGGCTCATAAGGACCGCATCTTTCAATTGAGTGTGATCCAAAGTAGATCCAGTTTGTGTACCTTGCTCTCTAAAGTCACCCAAGGCACAGTAGGTGAGGATGGGTGGAAGGATCACTTCAAAAATGTGCTCCTGATCTGAGCTTACATACTCATTTAGGTACAGCAGCCTTTTGCCAATTTTGAGGAATATGGGAAGGGGAAGAGTTTGGAGCAAAAGGAGGTGGATGTATTGCTGTTGTCAGGAAGAGTATTTGGGGATGTTAAGAAGGGAACAGGAGGTGAGGTTGCTGTGGTGTAATGGCATGGATAAGGACAATATGCAGAAAAAGGATACATGCCTTTACGCAACGTAAATTTATTCTCCCTTCCTCAAGGAAGTGCCATTCAAGTTTTCATGCAGTCACTTGATGCAAAATCTATTTATTTATTTATTTATAAAGAGGCATAATTGTATACCTGAATACAGATACCTACCTTTGTGCTATTTGTCTAAACTCCCTTTAACAGAGAGCAATACGCTTTTAAAGTATTTTTCAGTGTGTTCTAAAGTAGATTAAAAATGAGATAAATCCATCCTGGCTTCCAGTGTCATGGGTAAAGGTATAAAGCTTTAGCAACAAATCATTTTAATTTTTATTTTGAAGTAGGCTGTTTGCTGTGTGATATTGACAGTAGTTACCAATCACTTTCGTTAATCTACTTAGAGGATGTGTTTCAAATTTATATTTTTTTCTTGCACTGTAAATCACTTGCCCTGTGAGAAATGCCTGAGATTTAGCAAAATCTTAGCTCATTCATGGCCTAGAAGTTATTGACAATTGCTGATCTTTGAGTTTTGATTCTTTTGAGCTTTTAGGTATTTTATGTTATGCAAGGGACATTTGAATTAATCAACTGCATAGGCTCTTTATTAGTCAGTGATGGTATTTTATGAAGTGATGGGATGGATTCTGCATCCTGAAATTAAATGGGAACAGAATTGAGCTCATAAAGATTTGAGACTGCTCAGGTGGATAAGAGTAACTTAGGTGAAGTCTAATGTGGATTAATATAGTACTCAAATCACAGAATGATAGGGGCTGGAAAGGACCTCTGGAGATCATCTAGTCCAACCCCCCTGCCAGAGCAGGTACATCTACAGCAGGTTGCACAGGATGGCATCCAGGCGGGTTTCGAATGTCTCCAGAGTGGGAGACTCCACAACCTCTCTGGGCAGCCTCTTCCAGTGCTCTGCCACCCTCAAAGTAAAGAAGTCCCTCCTGGTGTTTAGATGGAACTTACTATGTTCAAGTTTGTGCCCGTTACCTCTTGTCCTATCACTGGGCACCACTGAAAAAAGGCTGCTCCCTGGCACCCTCCCTTTAAGTATTTATAAGCATTGATAAGGTGCCTCTTCAGTCTTCTCCAGACTAAAAAGACCCAAGTCTCTCAGCCTTTCCTCATAAGAAAGGTGTTCCAGTCCCCTAATCATCTTTATAGCCCTTTGCTGGACCCTCTCCAGCAGTTCCCTGTCCTTCTTGAGCTGGGAGGCCCAGAACTGGACGCAGTACTCCAGATGCAGCCTCAAGAGGGCAGAGTAGAAGGTGAGGATAACCTCCCTCGATCTGCTGCTGGCCACACTCTTCTTGATGCACTGCAGGATGCCATTGGCCTTCTTGGCCGCCAGGGCACATTGCTGGCTCATGGTCATCCTGTTGTCCACCAGGACTCCCAAAGCGGGAAACAGATGAGCTGCATGTAGGAAACGTAGTCTACCGTGGTTATGTGTGAAACTAGACATCCTTAATTTAGATGAGATGGATCACTCATTGAGAAAGTCAGTTAAAGAAACTGCTTTCTAGCCTGTGCTGACCTATAATGTGGTAAAAGCTTCAGCAGCTCAAAATATTTACCATTTTTCCCCCTTTTTAAACAGGCACTACTTTGCGCTGCCCACTAATCCTGGTGAGCAGTTCTTTATGTTTTGCACGCTTGCTGCTTGGCTGATCACTAAAGCGGGACATCCCTTCGAACAGCCACAAGAATATGATGACCCCAATGCAATAATTTCAAATGTACTCTCAGAACTGCGATCATTTGTAAGTGTTGAACATGCTGTTTTCCCAAGGGTATTTCAAGCGTGTGCATCACCTTCAGAAATAACAGTAATGACATACTTTCTCTGCTGTCTGATTATGTTCCCAAGGACTGGACAAACTTTTCCTATCTATAAGTTTTTACTATGTTAATTAGTTAATTGGAAGTTTATATTGTGTGTACCTACTTGCTAACTTTTGGGCAGTACAAAAATGGTCTTACAGTATTATGTATGATTCCAATTAGTTTTGTTCCACAATCTGTAAAATGTATTAAATCAGGCTTACTTCTTATAGTGCCACATATGTTGCTCATTTATAGTACTGTAATTTACAAAGATTCTATCTTGAAAGTTTACACAGTGCTTGTGATCCTGCTCCTGCCAAAGTCAATGGTATGATTCATAGTGAAGGAAATGGTTTAGCATTGTGTTCATGTGTTTGGTTTATTGTTTGTTTTCTTTTTTCTTTGGTAAGGAGTAAAAGGTTGCCTAACCTGCCAGGAGTTATTGGGATTTTTTCAACATTAACGCCCTCCCCCCGTTCCTGAATGTCAGGAGAGTGTATCAGCTTATGGGAAGTATGATCTTACTGAGATTATACTGCAGTACAGCTGTGAATGATGTTAAGAACAGTTCTCTAAAGGAGTTACTTGATAAAAAAAACTAAGATATTTATTCTGTAGGACAGCAATAAACAAAAATAAATATTTTATAAATAAAACGTGGAACAAACAGGCAATGTTGAAAAGCTGGTGGTTAAGTCTAAGTACCCGAGTTCCTCTGTAGCTGTTCTTGCCTTGCCAGTGTGTCACTTGTGCTTGACCATCTAGCTGCCTTGCAGCTTCTGACTCTTCTGCTCCCTGTGAGTATACTCTTACCAGGTGTTTTAAGATTTCTACACTGCATCTGTTCCTTGGGTTGTTCTGTTTTCCCTTCTGTTGCCTGACTGGAGCTGCATAGGGGAAGAATATGAATTAACATTGGTAAAATCTTCATGCACGATGGACGCTTTGGTTTTAGCATAGTAAATCTCGTTACCTCCTTGAGAGGAAACTTGATTAATGGATAGCCATTAGTAAACAGTATACCTTTTTGTTTTAGGGAAGGCCTGTGGATTTTCCTCCCTCAAAATTAAAGGCAGGTTACGGAGAGCAAGCATGCTATGTTCTTGATTGTTTAGCTGAAGAAGCCTTGAAATACACTGGCTTTAGCTGGAAAAGGTATAGTACATTTTTAAGCATCCTCCCTTATGCATTGTTTTCCAGCAAACAAATGTAAGTTGTAATTGTAAAGACAAAACATAGTAATTACCGAAAATGTTTTACTTGACATTTCATGAGATGCAAAATTCAACTAGGCTTGAAGCAGTGGGACAAATTAATTCCTAATGCAATTTCACACAATTTAGTCTATTACCAGCAAGGATGAGTTTGGGCCATTAATAGACTTAGGTATTTAATAAAGATTTGACTGATGACCTTTTTTTTTTGGTCATTTTCCTCTGCATAACTGCTTGTTGATCTGTCAGTTGAGTTGAAACATATTAATATTCTTTTAGGTCCTATCAATCAATCTTGACCTCTTCACTTGAAGGTATGCACAGTATGTGATCATGTTATAAGTAGGCTATGTTAACTTTGAGTATTTAATCCAAAGGAAATCTTGTGAGAAATTAGATGACAGATAATTTCAAGAATATGAAAATTTGTTTAAAAGTGCTTTTTATTTCATTACTTCCC